AAAAAAAACGTAAGCAATGCTTAATATCAAAATCGAAAAATAAAAATAATTGCTGCAAAGCAGAGCTCTTCCTTCTTCGACTAGAACCTTTAATGCCGGCATTGTTGTTTTTGTATTACTAGTCATCCTAGTCAGTGTCATAAAAACCCGATGAATGTTTTCAAAGCTCCAGAGACAAGAAAAGTTGAGACTAAATGGGTTAATCACAGAAATAGAAAATTATATCGTTTATGTTGTGTGTCCACTTGCGAGACTCAGTTTCTTGAAGAGAAAATAATTCGCATGGAACGCAATGTTCAGCCGTTTAGCGACGTTTAGTTTAGTGAAGTAGTTAGCGATGAACCTTTCTCCATCCCACTCGTTTCGGCATGCATTCGAACGCGGAGCCTCGAAAGAGAGCCCCATCGTACGTGTGTGGAGTCCACGTGGAGTCTGTGTGGAGTCCATGTGGAATCCATGTGGAATCCATGTGGAGTCCGTGTGGAATCCGTGTGGAGTCCGTGTGGAGTCCGTGTGGAGTTCGTGTGGAGTCCATGTGGAGTCCACGTACAGTCGATGTGAAACGACGCTAACGCGAACGATATCGTGCCAGGACTGCCGGACCCGCCGGTGGACGTGCAGGTGGAGGCCGGGCCCCAGGACGGGACGCTGCTTGTCACCTGGCTCCCCGTGACCATCACGAACATGGGGACGTCGAACGGGGCGCCCGTGACGGGGTATGCGGTCTACGCGGACGGGAAGAAGGTCTCGGACGTCGATTCGCCCACCGGTGAGGGTTTCCACGACTTTGGTCCTTCGGGGCCTTCGAGTATCACTGAAAAAAAAGTCGTAGTGCACGCGAATGATCTATTAAAGAAAGCTGGGGGACTTCCCGTTCATTTCTCCTTTGGAACGATGGGAACCATCTCCATCTTTTATTTATTAATTTATCTATTCATAGCCTTGTAACTTCGATCTATTGATAGCCTCACCCCTCCACAGCCTCATAACTTCAGTAGAATGCCTCATTCATACACGATTCCACGCCGATCCAAACCGCCACGTTCCTCCTCCCCCTTCCAGGCGACCACGCCCTCATCGACCTGACCAACATCCCCGGCTTCAACCCGAAGCAGGTGACGGTGCGGACGAAATCCCGGGACGGCCAGTCCGGGGATTCCATGCCGGGCATCGTCCCCCAGGACGCGCGAAGGGCCATCGCGAAGGTACAGGTACTGGCGCTCTTCAGCTCTTTCATTCGTCTCGTCTCTCACACGCTCGTGTACCACTATTCCATATTCTTTATTTGAATATTTGAATAGTTTCAATGTTTGAATAGTACGCCGCGTGGAAGTTCATGTTGCAGTCGTTTTTTTTTTCTCTTTTTGTTTTTATTTTGTTTTGTTATTTTAGTTAGTTTGATTTTGTGTTCGTTTTTGGTTTCCTCATTGGGCTCAGCTGGAAGAGTCTGATTCGGGGGCATCGGATTCCGAAATGGCGGAAGTCCTCAAACAGGCATCGGAAACGGATTCCGCCGAGATCCGCAAATACATCCAGGTAGGACCGACGTGGGGCGAGGGAGGAATAAATAAATAAATAAATAAATAAATAAATTAATAAATTAATTAAATGAGGAAAAAAAGAGAGACAGAGGAGGTGGCTCAAAAGAAGAGCTAGGTCTGAAGCTTCTCCGTGATCCCTGCAACGAAACCGCTTGGTGGTTGGTCTTAGAACGCTCAGGGTTCGCTGGGTGACGGAACGGAGAGGTCGGAACTGTCAGACATAGCGGAGGAACTGGAGGAGGACGATCCCAAGGACTCCCCGACCCTGTGGGACGAGACTCAGGTAACTCTCCGCACGAGGAAATGCTTCGCTCGGTCGATCCACGTCTTTCACGGTGGAGGGTGGCTTGAGGTGGAGGGTGGCTGGAGGTGACTTTGCGTCAGTCGTCGTCTGCGATCTGAGTCTAAGGTGGCTTCGTAGAAGGGCCTCGATGAAGGGCGCCGGTCGAACTTTCGTTTCTACTTCTGTTCGGTACTTTTTTTTCCGTTTCTTCTTCCGTTTCTTGACTGTATCATATCCTGCAACGTCGAGCGTCTTTTGCCATGCTTCTTTCACTTCGTCCGTCGTTTTTCATCGGTTGTGAATGCTCGTTCGTCTCCATTCTCGATCTCATCGTTCACCTGCATGAAGTAGAATTCTCGGATTAATTTGGCTGATGTAAATACCGCCAGTTTCACACGGCCGCCAGCGCTCTTCTGGAGTGGTTGACGGCAGTCTGATACTTTGGATCTCACTTTGGGTCTTCGGATCCCTACAGCACCGTAAAGGTCACATTTTCCTGTCTTTCCTGGAAACGAGTCCTCGAACACTGATGCAAAGCTATCCAACAGATAGCCTCAGAACGGAACGCTGAATCTCTCTGGTGATGCCGAACAGGGAGGAGAATTCGTGACGGAGAGGCGAGGAGGCTTCAACGAGCTCGACCGGAGAAGAGAGCAGCAGCGGGGAATGGGGACGGGGATGGGGATGGGGACGGGGATGGGGATGGGGATGGGGACGGGGATGGCCCGGGGAGGTGGGGGAGGCCAGAGGGGATCCGCTTCCTACCCCAGGCAGGATTCCCTGGGCGGACAGACTGTGATAGAGACGGAGGAGAATCTCAGCGACAAAGAGGTCTATCCGCTTCATTCTCATCCGCATCAGACTCACCCTCAGCACATGAACATCCCTCACATCGGTGAGAGTACGCTCTGATTCCTCTCTGTCGAACTAAGAGGACTATTTTCGCCTCGCTTTCAAAGCGAGGCGAGATGTTTTCCCTCGCCTGTCGAGGGAAAACATCTGAGATCGAGATATTGCCAGTTAAAAGCCGTTTACTTGCATTAGAATGGCAAAATAGAGTTAATTGACAATATACTGAGTAAATGTCAAAAGAAAAAGCTCCTCGTGACGTAAACAACAAAATATCAGATTTTGCTATGATTTTGCTAGAGGCTTGCTTTCCCGTTTAATTCAATGTATTTTTTTTTGTGTTCAGAGATCACGAAGGATTCGGCAAGTGAAGGACGGGCATCCGTGGAGAATTTCATGGACGACGATTACGACGGAGGGGGCCGATCGAGGGGATACTATCGAGGAGTCCGAAATCCTCCCCCGAATCCCCCACCCCCTCGGAGAGCCCCGATGCGAGACGGGAATCGGGACCGGGACGCTTACTACGAGCAACGAGGGGGGAACCAACGATACCCGCTGGATCAGTCTTCCATGAACCGATCCATGGGGGGGCAGGGCGGGGGGAGGCCTGGGCCCATGCAGGGGCAGGGGCCTTACGTCCGCCAGGGCCAACCCAGGCCCCATATGCAGGGTCAGGGTCAAGGTCAAGGCGGGGAGAGACCGAGGATCTTCGTGGCCCTGTTCGATTACGATCCGCCGACGATGTCCCCGAATCCGGATGCCTGTGATGAAGAACTTCCCTTCCGTGAAGGACAGCTCATCAGGGTCTGTTTTCGCTGCTCATTCTCTCAACTTGACATGCAACATATTTCAAGCTTTTCAGGAGCGAAATGGTCACACTTCGTGCCTTGACTTATATGGAGTTTTTTTTTTTTTTTTTACAACTGGAAGAAAGTTGGAATGAAAGGCAGTTCCAGTGGCATGCGTTCAGAGTTTCAAAAGTAGTTTTCAGCTCGGCTCCTCTGCCGCAATGTGATTAAGGTGGACGTGATGAAAGCTTATGGTCGAGGCAGGGTTAAAGTTCCAAAATCTGCAGGAATAATGACATTAAAACTATGTATCAGAAATTTACTGGACAACGATAAGGCTACATAGGGCTTCTGGGGACGGTAACATATACTGAACAGAAAGTAACTTCGGTTTCTGGATTTGTTTCAACGCATCTCAGCCCTAATTAGAATCCGGAATGCCTTCGATTGGATAGCATTAATATCAATGGAATCTCTTCTTGGCTCAAAATTCGCCGTTTGGATTTTCGTAAATTATTCCATTCGTAAGGTTTAAATTATAGTTGCTCCTTACCCTCTGCAAAACTAACTACCCCAGCGAGGTTGAAACCCCTCGAAATTGCGGAGAAAGCAGAAACTCACTTCCAACACATCTTAATTTAATTTCTGTTATCTCCCCCCTCTGCATTGCAAGTTTTGAACTGTTGTTGGGCTGGTGACATGTGCTTTAATTTTTTTTCTCAGCCATGAAAAACATTAGTGCAGGTAGATTTTTTTTTCTTGGATGGAACACATTCGACAATCATTGCATCGATGACATGCGTGTTCTTAAGTTGTTATATGAAAATAAAAAGTGTTTACTAGGTTCATCAGTAACGGAAACATGACAGTAATCATATATTAAGTATTAAAGTGAAGGACCACCAAACCTCATGCCCGACGCCGGAATCAGATTTTTACATAAACTTCATCGGATTGAGGAATGATTCCATCTCTTGTCACATGTGAATGCATATGGGTAACGGTGCAAGTAACACCCAGAAAATGTAGCAATTCGTCTCTTTACTTGATGCAGATCTATGGTGACAAAGACGCAGATGGATTCTATTGGGGAGAGGCCGGAGGTCATTCCGGCTACGTCCCGTGCAACATGGTCTCAGAGGTGCAGGTAGAGGACGAGCAGGTCGCACAAGAACTTCTCCGGGAGGGAGGAGCGCAGCAAACCCATCACCCGCAGCAGCACCAGCAGCAGCAGCAGCAGCAGCAGCAGCAACAGGGACAGCAGCAGCAGCAGCAAGGAGGGCAGAGGCAAGGGCGAGGGAACACGGATCGTTGGGGTGATACCTACGCCAACACGCCCATGAAGAAGATGGTCGCTCTCTACGACTACGATCCGCAAGAACTGTCTCCCAATGTGGACTCCGAGGTGAAACACGATTTACCATCATCCCATTCTCGTCGACACGACGAGGTGATGCACGGGCGTGTCTCAAACGGTGTGTGATGCCTGCAGGCGGAGCTCAGTTTCCAGACGGGTGATGTCATCTACGTGTACGGTGACATGGACGATGATGGATTCTACATGGGAGAGCTGCGGGGAATGAGGGGTCTGGTGCCATCGAACTTCCTCACCGAGCCTGGTCCGGGGTCGACCCCGTCTGGGATGCACCCAGGGGATCTGGATGCCCCACCTCGCTCATATAAACCTTCCTCCCACCATTCCCATTCCCAATCCCGAGATGTTGATTCTCGACGACGGGGTGAGTCGTGATTCGTGACGAAGTTTATCCCTATATTAAATGAAGACTCGCCAGGTGCAACGTGGAAATAGCGAAAGTGGGAAGATAGGGGAGATAAAAAGAAGTTTAGGTGTACCTGGGGTGAACCTAGGGTATACCTGGGGTGTACATTGGGTGTACCTGGGGTGTACCTGCAGCGAAGTGCATGCGAATGCACGGTCATGTCCCCCTCTCCTGCCTCATGCCAATCCCCCCTCCCTCCGCCCCCCCCCGTTTTTTATGCATGCAATCTCAATATCACGAACTTCCCTGCCATGTTTTGTTATCGTTTGCTCTCCAGAGAGCCGCCATTACAAAACAATGGATCCCTTGCATAAAAAGGTGTGGAATTACCCAGCACTCATCTCCTAACCCTTGTGTCTTGATCGCTGTTGGACTGAGAGAATTGCAGGGAAGAGAGGGGGGAGGAGAAAAGCATGTCGTCACCTGCTATCTTCAGCCCATCCCATATGCTGAGACCTCCCATGAATATCTTGGATGATTCCAGTGACGTCATTCATAGCTTCCCCGAGTGATCATAACTTCTTATTACACTAAAAAAAAACTTGCCTAAGAGGTTCAAATAAACTTCCAAATATCAAACTAAAACATGCAACTCCGTAGATGGGCCGATTCCAGCATTTGCATTCCACAATTGTTGGACTTCTTTTGCCCCACCAAAAAAAATCCAAGTATTTTATTCGTTGGAGCGTCAACGAATGAATTCATTGCAATGCCTCCTAAAATATGTTCGGTCTTCCAGCCTCTCAATCAGACCTATGAATGATACGTAGTTCCGTGATGCAATTATTTCGGGAACTGCTTTGCTCAATCATATGCTAGAGTAATTGGGGTGAATCAGCAAAGAGGCACTAAAATCAATAGAGGTAGACTTCAAATCACCTCAGTTCGGGTGGAATGAAACTGAACCGAATCCACGATGGACTCGAGATTCGACTCTCTGTTCCCTGCTGTATTCGAACCAATTTCACCACTAGCCGGCGTGGAGCCTATCCGCAAGCATCAGTCCAGCAGGGGTCACGATCACCGAATTGTGATGCACTGGAGGCGATTGGGCATCGAACGGGGCGGAATCCCCCTTTTTGCTCAGGAATGCAATGCACCTGTTCTTCCATCTCTGTGTGCCTATATAACCCTTGATTTTGTGTGGCCATGTGGGATTTTGATGTGTGGGTTGAGAACGAATGACCACTAATCGATATTGATTTTTCCTCCTCCTCCTTTCTTCTTTTCTTAACCCTTTCCTCCTAACCCCCGCCTTTTTCTACTTCTTCCTTTTCTCCCGCCTTTTCTACTTTTCTCTGTTTCTCCGTCCTGCAGACTTCCGTAACCCTGGGGAATTGCATGGTAGAGGCAATTATTATCCCGAGGTAAGTGGAACGAGCCTGCATGCCCATTCACTTACAGCCGAGTCCATCTCGGTCGACACTAACCGAATAATATGTGTAAAAAAAAAAAAAGAGGAAGAGAACGATTCCTTGGTTTTTGTTTCGTAACTGGTAAAAAGTGGAGAGGATTTCCGAGAGGGCAGAAACTGAATGAAGGCGTCGATTGCATGATGAAGACTAGATTATCTGTATTCCCTGTCCAGACCACAAACATGCACAGAAACGCACAGATTGGCCCTCGAAGGGATACAATGGACGTGTCAGTGAACCCCTGCATGGCGTGTACCCGTACCCGTGGAACCCAAGGCAAACATTTGGGTGTCTTTGTATTATTTATATATATATTTTAGCACATTTTTTTTGAGCATGCTGATCTGGTACTTGTATTTCGTAGCCTGCTCGATCCCTGGCTGACAGTTACACCCTAAGTCACACCTCCACCCGTTTCTTCTCCTAGTCCGTCTTTAGAATTGCACTGCGTGGGAATCGTGCCAGTGTCGTGAGAGAATCGGGAGCGTAGATTCTCCATAGTCTCTCTCTCTCTTAGAAACGCTATCGAGAAGTACGAGTATTCTTTCTGGACTTGAGGACTTTTTCTTAGGCGTAGCTCGATATTGGAGATGCATCGGTTTTTCGTTTTGTTGGAAGTAGAGGGAGAAAAAGAAAGCAGGCCGTTGTTGTTTTTTAGATTTCAATCGTACTTGTTTTTGTTTTCTTCTTAGAAAGTGTGTCGAAACGTGGAAAGGCAATGCCCAGGAGGCTCTCCCTTGTCATGGGATCCTCGTCTCCATTCAGTTTCTCAAAAGACGACAGTTTTTTCCCCCTACTTTCATCCTCTATCTCGCGGCCTGGATCGACTGCGGGATGCGATTGAAAATGAGGTTGATTTGATTCAGGATCAGGGGAACCCGTACGGGAGCGGGAACGCGAACGTGAACGCGACCGGGAGCAGGGGGACGGCGGGGGATCGGGACGGACGAGGGGGCCGCCTCCGGGACCGGGACCATCTCCATCTCAACAGGAGCAATGGTAACGGTGCGGGAGAGACGAGAATGAATCCCCGGATCACGATCTCGGATGCGACCCCGGATCGGGCTGTGACCCCGATGACCCCGAGGGTTCCCGTCACCCGGTCGCACCGGGGAGTCCCCGCCGTCGTCCCGGACTTCGTCATCCCCTCGGTCGCGACGACGACGGCGACGACGACGGCGACGACGACGACGACGACGACGACGCGGACCGGGGCAGGTGCTAGCCTCGTTCAAAAGCTCGGCTTCGGAGAGATGACGAGCGAGAACCCCGTGGATTCCCTCGTCTCCAAGGGCAAGGAGTTGATCTTCAAGAAATTCGGCCTCGGAAGCTAACCGCCACCACCATTCGCGATGCTTTTTTTTCATTTAAATTTTATTCTTGTTGGGTATCGTGTGATACGAGAATGTCACTCCTCACTATCTCTAATCCTCGTCCTCATATCAGCTCCGCTTTCTCCTCCCCCGTATCCCCCCTTTTTCTCTCTCTCAAGTGCTGCAAAAACGAAGAGAGAAGTTCCAGCGACGGTGTTTCTCCCCGTGATATTATTCCGTATACCATGCTAGTCTTGTAGCATTTGGCTCCAGAAATCCTTCTTATGATGTCTCCTCGTTCTCGAAGCGTTTCGGGGAGTCCTTCCTCTCGAGTATTCCTATCTCGATTCGCTATCCCAGTTGAGTGAAATGAAATTGTTGTTGACTTTTCTCCTCTCCGAGTTTTCATTGCGGAAACGGACTCGACGCCCCTGGAAGCACCCGAGGATGAATGGGAAAGATCCATTTATTTCGTGTTTTGCATTTCATTCGAATTCACTGGAACCATCCGTGTGATACTGACGATGCGAAGTTGCAGAAAAGGCCTTTGGAAGTGTCAAATCGCGTTTGGTTACTGTGTGTATGATGACCTTGAGGTCTTCGACTCTGACACAGCTGACGAACAGCGAAAGCCTATCGTTATCGATGAATCGGGAATGGGGACCCGATTACAATTCCTTTTTCTCAAGAAGTATCGATTTGAAATGAGTGGAATGAGACGAAATGGGATCGACTAAAAGTAAAGCACCGTGGAGGACATGGAACGACGTCTGTTCATGCACCATTAGAATCCTCACCTTAGGAGTGGATGGAATGCAAAATCGTTGCAAACGATATTATTAAACTAAATACAGAACTTGCTCATTTCTTTAAATGTCTGGCATTGGAGGAATGTGGTGTCTATCCCTTGTCTCTTCTCCAATCGGCCCTAATCTACTCCTGTCCTAATATGCTTCTAGCGGATTCCATTGCTGCTCCACTTGCACTAGGATAGAATGCTTCACAAGTTAATTTTATTTCTTTACACGTGCAGAACGAGTATGGAGTGCATCGGCATCATCGGTTCCTGCCAGATTTTAGTATTCTCTGTTGACATGGAAGACGAATATTCTTTCCCATCTTAAAATACTGTAGTGTATAAAACATTTATTAAGGAGAAGGTTATTTCTGGGTTAAATTGCAAGATGGAATGATTTATGTGCCATGTCACATTCTTGTTTCGTGTTTGAAGACAAAGAAACTTTCCAGATGGAAATTGTTCATTTCTTCATTTATAGCTGCCTGAATTCATCATGGCCTACTGTGTGTAGCTGGGAAATTTTTTTTTTTTTTTTAGCCATGAATGAGTGCTCATCATTTAAGGAAAATGTAACTAGCACAAATCCTACGGTAGAGTGAAGATGAGGTTTCGGTCTGTTTTGTTTCGTTCACTTCAACCACTAATTGGTTCTTCCCGTATTGCCCGAGAGCCTGGATTCGATCACTACCTTTGTAAATGGCACCGAAGAATGAGAAAAAAAAGATTAGCGGCAATTTAGAGTAATTTAGCCTGAGGGAGGAGTGAGGGGGAATGAGGTTGGAGCTCTTCTTTCCGATCTCGTGTTCGTACGAGTGGCCTTTTGTAAGGAATACGTGAGGACTTCCCAGCAGCATTGGTGAAGCAACTCCCGTCAGCACTCATTCGCCTTCACTACCATTCTAGCCCTGGCCTCTGAGAAGAGTGCACTTTCCTCGTTGCTGGAACTTGAGGCTCTCCGCCCTTCCTCCTGCAGTTGTTTGGTGACTTTCTGCTGTCTTTTCCACGTGATGCCAAACTCAAACGAGGCACAGCACATTTCGTCCCTTCGCTACTCACTCACTCCTACTTCACCGTAATCAGCCCCGTGACCTCTTTTTGAGGATATCTCCTTTATTTGATGCTTCGGCAGTTATTAACCTTCCTATTCTGTTCGGGTCTATTTGACCCGAAACACTCGTTCAACCTGATGTAACTTCGATGTATTTCATCAAAAAAATCTGAAATTTTAAAACTTTTCCTAACTTTTCGAATATATTTACAACCTCAAAGCTGAACTCATTTCCATGAAGCATTACTGAAATATTTGCGATACCCCCACCTGTTATGCTCGGATCTATTTGACCCGATTGCAATACTAGTGCATTTTCAACATGGGTTACACCATCTTGAACCTTCTTGGAACAAGCTTCCAGGGCACTTGTCCACGAGAAATGTAGTGATTCGCAAAGTCAAGTGTTCTGCCAGTTTTGGGAAAGTGCGGATTCAATCTGGTTTTGGCTTCACAAGCCTGTCTGGGTCGCCGCGTGGCTTCTTGTTGCATTACACCCTCTTGGAGCATTTTCTTCGCCTTTTGTTGCTGCATTATCCTTGGCATATCTCTCATGTTTCTCAGAGACGGTATGAAATACACGATAGAATCAACCCTTTTTTGTCTA